TGTGAATCTGAATAAAAAAAGGATGTGGGAGTGGGTTAAGACGCTTGAAGAACCCACACCCACACCCCACACCCACACCCACACCCACCCACACCCCACACCCACACCCACACCCACACCCCACATCCTTTTTTTATTCAGATTCACATTCTCGGTTACAGTTTATTTGATAGAGCTTTACCACAAAGAATTGACAACATTCAATAAGGACAAAAATGATACAAAAAAAAACACAATAAAGATATTTTTTTCTAATCATAGACACATATTGCATGAACAAACGCTTATATCTCATATCTTCTTGTCAGTGCTTAAGACAATAATGCATATATACTACCAGAAGTTGCACTTATTCATTCGACTATTGCCTTGACCTGGTTTACAGCCAAATATTCGATCAAAGTCGATGAAATTCGATGTAGAACCAAGTATTCTAACGACAAACCTCATTCATGATAATATACTGAGATGTTTATAAAAGAAAAACTACCTGAATTCACTAGGTGAATGTGTATCATAAGTCAAAGATGTGTTTGCGACTTCATTGGACGTTATTTTGCAACCATGTATAGCCAAGATTGATAAAAAACATTTGTTCATTGGAATATTTCGTCAGACCTGGGAGTTTCTTATCAACATTCTTGTGAGTTTTAGCCCATCTTTGATATGCCTTAAAAATAGATAGATCTAAAATTCCAATTAATGAATGAAAAAAAAAACTTACGAAGAAAGCCTGTTTCAATCCAACGATATCAGCAAAATTTTCATTCTGTGTTCTCTCACCATCTACCTGAATACAAAAAAATGACGTCTCAGAATCCACTGAAACTTGAAAAAAGATGAAAAGAACGACCTGTCGATTAACTTGAGTCAATGTATAATTATTGTATTGATTAACAACACATTTCATGCGTTCATGAAATGTTTCTATAGTCTCATTAATCCATGAAGGAAATTCGTCTCCATACATGCCATGATTTCGACTATTATCATCAAGACCATGTGCAATTTCATGTCCAATGATAAAACCAATACCTAAAGTCAATAGAAATCTTTACCTTTCATCTTCGAATTCAACTTATTCCTACCGCCATAATTGAGATACCTGTCGAATATATAAAATACATTTCAGTGTATGAAATTAATCTTTTACCTTGGTAGATTGTTGTCGAAAAGAGCCATTTGAAGAAAAGCAGCAGGCAAAACTAAAAAGACAATAATATATAATATCTGATTGGTAAAAGACGTTTCATACTGATTTCATTGAATAGGTAGTGATAATAGGCATTTACAGTTGTTGGCAGTATGTACAGCCCCTCGTTTTCATCGCCTGGATCACGCAATGTTCGAAAATAAGTTTTTGAATGTAACTGATTTAAATGCACATCATTAGATATAAACGATAAATTGAAATTATACTGAATTTGACGAAAACAGAAACAATAATGAATGAAAAATGAATAGACTAATATTCTATATTATACTTCATATTCTTTCTCAAGTTTCATCAATGTCATCGTTTTCCAAATAATCAGAATAACCAATTTTTCCCTTCATAGCTTGAATCTGTAGAAAACTGAGCTTATTTCCAATGTGAAATTATTTTATTGATAATCCTACTTTTTTAATTGTCATAATTTTTGATTTCGAATCCATCCATGTCGATTGATTGACCATATGGATGAATACATTTCGAATATTGTGGAACATTTCATGTACCTATGAAAATATCGAGCAATCAATGATTTAGATAAAACGAATTATTATTATTAGTACTTCTTTTCGAGTATCTTTACTGAAATATTTTTGGACATAGATTTTGGAAACCACCGAACTCATCGTTTTACTGAGGTATTTAGCACATTCAACTTGATATAGCTGCTTATCAGGAATTTCCTGAAAACGATGACTATACGCTTTTACCATGCTTCGAAATCGTTTAGTCATTATCGTCTTTTCATTCATGATGAAACGCATTATCAAATAATTTTGTACAGTACGTGGTGACTGACTACCAATAAAGGATAAACTATCGCGTATATTATTAGGATGAATTACAGTCACAACATCTGTATCAGTCAGCGACACATTTCCAAACAGATAAAGACGACGAACATAATCGGCAAAATCTGACTAAATATGAATATGGACAGAAAAGACTGAATGAGAAAGTTAACACTCACACTAATGTTGACCACGCGTGAAAGATTACCAACTGTTGTACGAATTATATCATTCAATGATAGCCTGCTTGTGTTCATGTAAAACTAATTTCAAGAAATAAAATAGAACAAGTTCATTAGAAAAGTATTTACTTCGGTAATTTTAGATTCAAATTTCACTACATCAGCCAAAGCAACATCCTTATGAGATGCGCCATCATGTATTGCTTCGGGAAAGTTTGATAAGACTGCTGAAGAAAATTCGATTATTTTCATGGCTTCAATAGTAAGAAGTTGACTGTTTAGAAAAAATGGAGTTGGATAAATCTAAAAGAGACATCACTATTCACCAACATTTTCAGCTATTGGATCTCACTAGAATGCTTCGTAAGGATGAGTTCTTATAATCAGTAATTGTCTGTACTGTGTACAATAGGAAATTGTTGTATTGACTTAGTTTGAAAATTAGACGATAAAAGTCAAATGTTGATTCATTCCATGCTAAACCTTGAACCAAAGGCCATCCACCAAGTTCTTTCTGAATGAATGAAAGTATGGCAAGACGATCTTCAGTTTCATTAGTATTTTCGTTAACACATGCATTGTACCAGTGACGAGCATTAGTAATTGCTTTTGATTCTATTGTTTCATTTGATGGTGTTGACGACAGTAGATCTTAGAAAAAAGGAACTGAAGTATAAATGAAGGATCGAAGATAATCTAACATACAAACAAGTGCATTCTCTAAGTTTGTCATCATTTGTAACAATAAACTGTGAAAATCTTCTGAAAAAAATGGCATTTATTCTTTATTTTATTAATGAAGACTTACTCTTAGTGGATATTTTTGCATTCTTAATCCGTTTTCCACACGTGAACTGATAAAAGTTTTCGCACGGATCAATTGTTTCATCAATACTTTCATGAAAAGAACTTGCTAAGAAGACAGAAAAATATTTCACTGATGTAACTAAATATACTAACCTGCTTTTATGCAATCAGGAGTTAAACATAAATCACTAGTGTCTTTAACTAAAGTCATTGTTCAATTAAAGTTTATACATATTAATTTGTTTTTTTTGTTGTTGAGAGAATTCATTCAAACATACCGTTTATTGTTGTTTGTTCATCTACTGTTTTGCTTCGTTGAATAGTGTATAAAAAACACAATCCGATTATAATAAACATTAACAAGGTGATAATTATGGCAGATAATGGTGAAATAGAACATTTCTTTGATCGAAACAATGCGCTACAATAATAATAAACAAAATAGCAACATTAAAAGCATAAATATTCTATAAATATTCTCTCGGTATTCATTTCAAAGGATGTGCGATTAATTTTCCCATCAATTCAGATTCAACTTACTTTGTAGGCACAGACGTGTACGAAGTATTTGATGTGGGCTTGTTGTGCATTATTCTTATTTCGATTAAATTAATTTGTCAGTCTATCTAGAAGCATATCATTTTGTAAAACTCTTCAATCTTCTCTATTTCAATGTCACTTATATCATATAATTAAATTATCTCATTTAGTGATAAGTTGCAGGAGAGAATACTTTTCAAGCAGAAAACTGTGAATACGAAACACTAGTGTGTTTTGTAATTCAAAGCAATACAAACCAAGAGAAAATGATATTTCCTTGAATAAATAGAAGGTCTTGCTTAAATATATTCTGTATGCAGAGAAAAAGAGTGTTGCGCAAAATTTAATCAAAGACTATCACAGTCGATGTAAGTCAGAAGAGTATTTTGAGTTGATTTTCGATGAGAAAGATATGAACTTGTAACATTTTACATCTTTCGATGCCTGGTATTAGTTGTAAATGCAGACCTCTTGAAGAGACTTGCACACAGCTCCAACTAACTAAAGAATAGATCGATCTTCTAGTCAATGGTTCTACTATTTTTATTGATTATCTCCTGAAGCAGATCAGCAAAAGTTTAGGGTTGCTGATGTTACTTGCATGTTTTGTTGAAAACTCGTAAATAGATGTGGAGACATACCAAATATCATTTTGGCTTTTATATTATAGTTGAAAAAAAAAGAATCGATGAATAATTTTTTGAATGATAAGAAAATGATTCATTCATGCCCCTTTAGTTTGCACAAGGGCAAGAATTTTACTTGACTAGTATTTAAAGTACTTAATTGTACTCTTTTATTTCATTTGATTTATATAACTAATCATTTTTCTTATAAGAACTACTACGATAACTAAATGAATAAAATCAACATAGAAAGCATGTTTTTTCAGCATATCTATGATACTAAGTGCTTCTGCAGGCTACTCTACGAGATTTCATGTTTGCCACCTTTGATGGTTTGTTCTTGATACATTGATAACATTCATTAGAATAGTATATGAACACAAAAGAAAATAATTGTGCTTAGTTTTTCACTATCGACGATTTTGTTCAGTCTCTTTTTGTTTCCTAGAATTGATTGAAAATATGAAACTATAGCTGTTCAATAAATGCATCTTACCATTGTAAACTTTATTACAAATTTCACTTATAGTTTATGGAATGTCAACATCCATTTGTCTAATAATCAGTTATTGTTGAAGATAAGGAATGAGATTCATTCTTTACCATTTTCTAGTTAATGATAAAGAGCTATTGCACTTATTCTTAATAGTTTCACTTTACCATTATCATACTGATTCGATAAAAATAGAGAGATAAGATAATGAAGAATTCAAACCCTATATACGAATTCTTAAGTATTTTAATAACACATATAAATTTGACTGGAAACTCTATATGATGTAGATTCTATTGATTTTAGTTCGTTAAATTCAATAGTATAGCAAGCTGTCATATTTTATTTAAGATCTTGCGTTCATGTTCTTTTCCTTTTTTTTATTGCATGTTAAAAGTTTACAAATTGCAGACTCCTGAAGTTAAAAAACAACAGGGCAAAAAAGACCTGTCGAATTACTTCTATTTTGTATGTCGTTGAGACATCCAGTGTCTTAATTATTGCCTGTCAATATTACTTCTTACATCATTTGAAAACAAGAATATCGAGTTCCATGAAACAGCTATTCTTTCTTAAAGATGTTTTATATATGCAATATTTGCTTCATGAATATTACTTCTCACGACACAATATCTTTATTAAAAAAATGATAAGCAGTTTGTGAATCATCAGATGAATAAAAGGAAAAGATCAAACAGATTTTACTTATCAGAAAAAGGAAGAAAAAGAAAAATCTAAACGTCATTATATGCAAAGAAATTCTACTGTCATGTAAGCAAAGTTGGTAGAAGTTGTTGATGTACTCTGGACTCATGGATTGAAGGAAATAAACGAGCGTATCAGTTCTTTGTATAGATATCTGTAAGGATGTTCGTGGGTAACGTAGATATTGTTATGGAATTTAATACTGATGAATGAATAAATATAAGTGTAGGACTTTTCTTTAACAACGTCAAAATAGCATTCAAACCAACATTGAAAAACTATACAGTTTAGCATCAGTGTCCATTCACATTCTTTGGAATATTTCTTTGGGTGTGGGGTGTGGGTGTGGGGGGGGGTGGGGGGGGGGGAGCGG